GAGTGAGCCACGGGCCGGCCCTCCCACTAGCAATTTTTTAAGGAAGAGTTGAGGTGGATAAATCATCAGAAATTTGGAGTAAATCTGCATTTTGAGGCATCATTATATTTTGATTGATAAAAAGCGGTTTCTCTTCTCTATGTGATAATTTAAATATGGGATATATAATCTTTCTAGACCAAGGTCTTTAAATACCAAGTAAGTGGAATGTCTTGTTTTTAAAAAGCTAAGTTTTTGAGCTAAAATTAATTTGCTAGCTAAAGGAGGCATTTATTTAAAGCTCCATGCAATTTCTTGCCTTGATATTTAGAAGTTCTTTTTTGGGGGAATTCTTTGGATAGTCCGTAGATGAAAAGAATTCTCTAAAGTTTGAACTGGTCCTTTTGTTTTCCTCCGATGTTTTCTTCTAATAGGTAGAAACAGTCCCATCTACTCCACTGATATGTTTTTGTCAGAAAGTACTGTGGATGCTCATTTTACAGAGTTGTTGATGAAGAGTTGAAAGACTTGGTTCTAATTCCAAGTCACATAATAGCTAATAACCTTGAATAAAACTCACTTCACTCATCTGTACAACACAGATAGTAATCTACCTTTCCAGTGTCGTAGCTTTGTTTAGAGTCATTCCAGATAATTTTTAGGAAAGTGTAAATTTATGGAATCTAAATTTATTATACTTCCAAGTTCAAGAAGTATATACGTTACCAAGATGTGTTCATTATCTTTTGTGTGTTTTTTAAGTGGTGTGGGGATAGGTGGGTGGGGACTGGAATTGGAAATACTAGAATTGCAATAAAATTCCAAGTAGAATTGGAAAACTTAAGAATTTTGAGTTAAGTTTAGTAAACTAATATTTAAAGCATTTTTGTTCACAATAGTATGATTAGCTATTTGTTACTTATTTTCTTATTTTCTAAACGACAGTAAAATAATAAAAACCTTAAAAGCAGTTGAACAGATTTTTTTTTAAGCTAGCATTGACATAATCACTAATTTTGCATTTTAGAGATGCTCTTAGTGATCTTGCATTACACTTTCTGAATAAAATGAAGATTATGGTGATTAAAGATATTGAAAGAGAAGACATTGAATTCATTTGTAAGGTAAAATATTCTTAACATCTGTTTGTGTGAAGATACCCAGTAATCAAATAAATGTTATCTTAATTTGCTGATATGATTTTTTTTCTAGACAATTGGAACCAAGCCAGTTGCTCATATTGACCAATTCACTGCTGACATGCTAGGTTCTGCTGAGTTAGCTGAGGAGGTCAATTTAAATGGTTCTGGCAAACTGCTCAAGGTAACATTATTATAATTAAGCTTTTATTTGTGTGGGTTGTTTTTTTGGGCAGGGGGAGGGTTACCCTTCAAATACCTAATTAGAATTTGTTTGCTAAAGATTACAGGCTGTGCAAACCCTGGAAAAACAGTTACAATTGTTGTTCGTGGTTCTAACAAACTGGTAATTGAGGAAGCTGAGCGCTCCATTCATGATGCCCTGTGTGTTATTCGCTGTTTAGTGAAGAAGAGGTAATGTAAAGGTTACATTACTAAGTAACATTTTGAACCTTAACACTTCTGTATTTTTACTATTTTTTAAGGTATAAATAGTAAAATATTAAAAATAGCTTCCTGTTGGATGAAATAAGCTAAAGATATATTTGTGAATTTCAGAGCTCTTATTGCAGGAGGAGGTGCTCCAGAAATAGAGTTGGCCCTACGATTAACTGAATATTCACGAACATTGAGTGGTATGGAATCCTACTGTGTTCGTGCATTTGCAGATGCTATGGAGGTCATTCCATCTACACTAGCTGAAAATGCTGGCCTGAATCCCATTTCTACAGTAACAGAACTAAGAAACCGGCATGCGCAGGGAGAAAAAACTACGGGCATTAACGTCCGAAAGGTAATAATTTTTAATTATTGCAGAAAATGTGGATTAGGGGCCAGCC